AAAATGATATATGAATACACACGTTAAGAAGTAGGTCATTGTTTACAACCATCCTTATGTGTTCTTGCCTATGCAGAGGCACAGTTCTTAAGACCAGTGTTTTGATCCAATACTGTAGTTTTAATACATCACTTATTTATGACTTACTGTAAAAGGAAAGCATTTTTCTTCCCCATTCTTTTCTGAATGCTTTGCATGCTCTTTGCATATCAGCTTCAAAACCACATTTATTTTAAGAACAAATAATGCAAATGTACTCTTCTCCCTGTGCTCTTGCCCAGGGAGCTCAGGTTCTGACTTGAGTGAAAGCAGACATTCTACCACGTACACTCAGCACCAGCATATTATTCAACTTTTTTTTAATGACTGAACTCACAGAAATTGTAAATAAAAGTTAAAAAATCAAAAGTAGCCACCCTTTCTCTTTACACATGACATAGCTTTTCCCCAGTGGTTGCAAAGGTAATTCCAATGAAGATGGATTCTAGCAAGTAAGGCTGCAGAGTACTGAAACTCAAGTTATGGATACAGACAATGAACTAGAAAAATACTTAAACTTCTAGAGGGCTTCTTGACTAGTGATAAGGAAATAAGGCAAAAATACAAAAAGCACGTTTAACAATACTGGTGTTAACATGTATAAAACTTCAGGGCCTTAATGATCATTTGTCATACAGCATTTAAATGAAGCTTCTTAATTCAAATTTAAAGAAAACAGATTTAAGAGTCAAGTAAATTTTGGCATCACCTTGATCTACGAGGTAGATATAGCATGGACTGGCCTTACACAAATTGGTCATTTAAGTTTGTAAAAACCAAACAGATGGGAGACTGAATAAGTAAGTGGAACTGAAATTGCCAGAGGTAGAAACTCTGACCAAGTTGTTTGTAAGTTACAACAAAAATGTAAACCTAAAAGGCAAGAAGGAGCTCTTGGTCCTTTCTCAGACTGTATACAGAAAACAACAAATGTTTGTATTTTATGAAAACATCTTTGGTTACTGAACACTTTTTTACTTAATTTTTTTTACCTTTCTCCTTGACAAACAGCCACACAAACACATTAATCAAAATATCACATTTACTAGGGCATTAAATATCAAAAATCAAGCCATCCTTTTTAATGCTTCTTATACCTTCAGAAGTCAAAGTGTCATGTTTAGTATTATTATGGCAAATGACCACAAAATGGGTTGCAGCTGAACTATTAATCTTTTTATTTAATGGCCGTTTGTCTTAAACAATAGTAAACAAAACACTCATTTTTTTCTTTCAGTTCTTCCTATGCATTTAAGCATAGCTTTAAACTTGACCTCTGAATTGCACCATTCTTCTATAAGCAGTGAAAATACATGCTATTTATTTTCTAAAAGCTCAGTTCTAAGCACATCTGTATCTCAGTTAATTAGTAGGATGCTTCCAAGCTTACCCACTTGGCATGAAATGCATTCGTCTTTACTACTGTTAGATGATTTTATCATTGTTCTCAGATGTTCCACTCTGGATCCCTTTCCTCACCCATGGCATGGGGCGGCCCAGTTCTAGTTCTGTTTCCATCTGAAGAACCATTGCGACGCTTTGAGGGATGGGGAAAGGGAAACTCCAGGGGTTTCTCAGGGGTTTTTCCAGGCCCTGAGCCTGGAGGGGAGAGGTGCTCCCCCTCCCCCCCCCCGCACATGGCCCCATGGCCGGCAGGGAGACAGGTCACAGGACACCGGGCGTGGAGAGGAGGCAAGAGAGAGTTTATTGTTGGGGATGTTACATTTATAGGGTTTAGGAGGATTCACAGAGTAACCAATTAGAAGTCTCAAGGGGCTTACAGGAACACCCAATCACAGGAAGGAGTTAACAAAGGCCAATGGGAAAACACCTCAGGACACCTTCCCAGGACATTCCTGCATGGATAACATGGGGGGTGCTGGGAGGAAGAAGCATGTGTTTGCAAAGACACAACCAAAAGCCATTTTAAAACCTGTTTAAGCCACAGTTTTCCCATATAATGCAGGTTTAATGCTACATTCCACAAATACATTGCTTTTACATATTTTATATATATAATCCATATTCAGGGATAACATACACCAATTATTACTTTCTCAAACGGGAGCAATGAAGTTTTCCTCATAAGATTTTTTGTTTACCTAAAAAAAAGACAAGTCACTTTGCAGAAAATTATGTGCTTGGATCCCATGTCGTGGCAGAGGATTGTATTACTTTGAATTCATAATGTGACTCTTCAGACAAAGAGCCTGACACAGATAAAACCAAAAATTATGTGAAAACCTGCAGGTCCTTCAAATTAGTTTTCACAACAGCCTGTGGCACACTTAAAGGAAACCTCACACTGGACAGGCTTCCCAGCTCACTAATAATTAACCACGGTTTAACAAAATATCTTGTAATAAATATGCAAAGCCTCATGTCAGTCCAATTTCTTTCATAATAAAAATCCAGTTCTGTTCTTTGACAGGTAGAAGACTGACAACTGGTCAGAGTTAAAATGGAAAATGCCTGTCCCTCCTCCTGGCACTCTGCACACTTGTTTCATTCCAAGGATTATAGCCTTGGAATGAAAGCTGAAGCCCTGTGCCAGTCACTGTCCACATGGTCCTGCTGTGCATCCAAACCTGACTTCTGAAGGAACCTGAGGCCACTCTGTTTGAACCCCAGAACTGGTACCTGCAGTTACTAATCACAGCTTCACTTTGCCCACCGATTCCCAGACCATGGCCAGGACCAGCTTAGGTCCTACAGTGGCAGAGCTACAGGAAGAGAATTCCACAGGTGGGACCATGAAGATCCCATGATCTCTATTTTAGAACCTTTTAGGAGTGCCTGACCGTATTTTTCTAAGGATGATAAATGTATTCTCACTAGGTACATAGTCCTAGTAACCATGTAACATAAAGGAAACAAAAAAAACCCTCTTTGGTTCTTAAATTTGTTCCACACCTTAGAACAGAGTCTCTGAGCCGGCTCTCAACTTTATTTTTGGTAAACTTTAACAAAGGTTGGTGGCAAAGCTGTTTTATGGGCATGTGACACAATTAAGCAGGTCATTTTGTAAGCACTGGAACTTACTCTGTCTTAGATTCTTTGCTGTGCAGTAATACAGCTAAGTTCACACTACAATGGATAAACAGGGAATGTAAATTTGTCTGCCCACCTATTTTCACAAAGCCTGCGAAAAACTAGCTTTGAACTCTTTCTGCTCTGTCAAATTTAATCAAAAGCAGCCAAGAAGTTCAAAATGTCTTGAGTGTCAGAAGAGAGAGGTTGACAGAAAGGATTACTGTGCAGGAAAACCCAGTGAAAAGTACATTCTCTCGCCAAAAACATTCTGTCAGCTCATTGCAGAGTTACGTATTTAATAGGTCATACAGTAACACACTTGGCAGATGAAAGCATATAAATTATTTGACTGGGATCTTTGTCTTCTCAACTAGTTATCCCCAGATGATTACATTCTGTTAGCAGAGCCACCATGGGTAGTTTTAGGATTCAGACTTCTTCCCATCCTTGGCTCTGCTCAGAACTTCTGTCTCACTTCTTGCTCCTGGTCAGCTCCTATGAGAGTTCTCACCAGCCAGCAGAGGCTGTGAAAATGAGAAATAGGTCAGCAAGTCATAGTAACTCATCCTTGTGTGCTCCCCTCTCTCCTACGGCTTTCACAGGCTCCTCTGGCTGCGGCTGCTGCCTCCCCACCCGAGCCGATGACAGCGGTCAGATGAGCTGGAAGAGGTTCTGGGAAACAGGAAACCAGCTGGATACACTGGCAACGGGAATGGAAGCAGCTACCAGGGAGGCTCACGGCTTTCCCCCATGGATCTCCTCACACAAGAGCTGCGTTGCCACAAAAGCTCTTCAGACCTGCACAGCTTCAGCCTCTGTGGGGCACCAGGCAAGTAAAGGTACGCTGCATATCAGATGCCATACATTAGACCAACCAACCAGTACATTGGTTTAGCTCCAGAATTGATGCTAAACCAATTAAATGTAAGTGAAAATGAAATAAGTTCTCCTTTGACTATATGCAGAAGTTTTAAACAGCTACAAATCACACCCTTCCTCCAATACCTTCACTGCTTTCCCAAAACATTTCAACAGCATAAACTGTTTATACTTCAGAGGCAAGTGCATACAATAGGTACAAAGCTTGTTTTCAATGCAGTAGAGAAATAATTACCCTGAACTTTTTACCTCCCACGTGCAATTCCTCCCCAAAAGAAACAATTGCAAGGCTCAACAGTGATTTAGCTGAACGTTGACACTGGGATTCAACAACTTCACATAGTGTTCACATAAAACAGTTCTTATGCATCCTCAATGACCAACAAAACTGAGAGCAGCAAAAAAAAAAAAAAAAAAACCAATAAAAGGAACTTGCAACTTCCTAGTCCTGGAGCTGTTCAACCTGCATACCTCATGAATGCTTTGGGGGGGAAAAAAAGGGTAAGTTCTCCAATGGAGAGATTTGTAACAAAAATAGAGAATTTTCACACCTACAATACCTAGTTGAACCAAACTGCCTTAGGATAACTGATTAACAGACCTGTTATTTATTAAGTGAACTTGACACAAGATTTGTGTTTCAGCTTCAGTTTTAAGACTTCAATTCAGTTTTCTACATCTGGCACTGAATCTTTCAGGAAGACTAGGACTCACAGTCACAACACTGCCACTGATATCTGGCCCTAGTGCAGGGGCAGATATCCACCTCGTTCTTTGATGGGGAAACTCCAGGGTTCCTTTACACCTAGAACAGCTGGATGGGCATAGAGAGGGAAGGATGAAAGAGGAACAAACATACATCCCTGCTCTAGAGAACAATTCATCAGGTGCTATTGTCCAGCAGAAAGCACAGATATTCTTAGAAACTTTACTGAAATACAGTCAAAGGCAAGAAAACCAGCATGATATTGGTATTAATTGGGTAGAAATTCTTATACTCTGCTCTCCTTGTCAGGGAATAAACAGATGTTTGTACAGAAGGACACTGCAGAAATTAACCTGCAAATAGAACTGAAAAGAAAAATACAGCTCCTTAGTCTTCAGTGCACAGAATTGTTCACATAGACCCTGAATCAACTTATTCTATCCCACACCCTCAGGGACCTCACAGCTCTACGAGACATTATTTCAACCTACATTTTATGAACATTATCAACAGACCCTCAAAGAATTTGCTTCTCAATCTCTCTCTACACGGTGCTCTTGCTTGTTCACTTTCTCAAAAGAGTGAGCCCCAAAATACCGTGATTTAAAGGGATCAGATTAACCCAAATAAAATAATGGCAAGGTGGGAATAGTTGGCAAGTATAGAAATGCAACATGAATCATCTTTTTCTTCTGTAAAAGCTGATTCTTGGAAGTCTGACTTGGCAAAAGCACATCTAGTATTCATTTGTGCCTTTTTGTGCAGCTGTTGGAAGGAACTCATGGCACTACCTGTAATTACATTAAATGTGAAGAAAAACAGACCAGACCTAATTGGGCAAAATCCACAGTCAAACATCTTAAATCCAAAGTCTTAAATTTGAGATAAAATAGTTGTTGTCATCTTTGCAGTTTTTTATCAAAATGCTTCCCATTTCTGAATTAAAGAACCTTCTCTCACTGATAAACAGTAAGTATTTCACACTTTTTAGCTTCTGTGGCCTCTGGAGCAAGCCAGTTTCTGGTTTCATTTTATTCTCAGGGTGGGGGCAACTCCTTTCACAAAAGAAAACCAAAACAAATTAAGAAATACCTACAGTTGTTCTAAAGACAAAAGACCACATTTCATCTCTCAGGTCAAGTTATAAAGTACAAATTGAGTATAACTGCTTATGTCAAAACTTGGGGATTACACCTTCTCTGGCAAGAAGATCAAGATGTTTTTAGCTTTTTCTTTTCTTTAAGCTGGCATCCCACAGTGAATGATCTGAGTTTTTATCGCTAATTCAAACAGTCATACTCTCTATTTCCTACAGTAAATTTCTTCAGATTCTCTTTCCAGAGTTCTTCCTTATCTATTTATTCACCAAGAAAATGCATGAGATTTGCCAAAACCATCATGACTGGTGTTGCTCTTTTTGGTAACACTACCAAAATGTTAAGAAGAGACAAGCGACCCTTTATTTTGTTTCTCCTATCCTGGTGGCATAGAATAAAGCCACTCATTTTGAGCAAAGGAAACAGTTTTGGATATTCTATAAAAATAGTGTGAAGGGCAAGAAGTCTCAGGAAAAAAAAAAATCAAATTATTTAGGTGTGCATACAGAAGGTCAGTTTGTGAAAGAGGTAAAACCTGCCTTCTTCCTAGAAAAAAGCCCACCTTCAATAAAAGTCATTAAATACCTGACCATGTAGAACAATTTAGGATTCCTAAAATTGAATCTGAATGGCCATTTACAACTCAGTAACAGTTTGATTAGTGGATGTTTGCACACTTAAACGCACACTTTTGCTTAGTTGTGTCCAGGGATGTCCAGAACCCCAGGGCAAAGAGAATGGAGAGAACTCCCATCACAGAACCTTATTCCCAAGTTCTACCCTACATACCCTGTCTCAGGCTGCCTCTCAGTACACAGTAGAATTTTTTTTTCTCTGCTGGTTCACTTTGGGCTGCCTGAATTCAAACTGACTGTTGAGATAAAGGGAGAAAGAAAGATGCAAGCCCCCCTCCCTACCCTCAGCTCTGGGATTTTCCTACTTCTTTTGGGTTGCAGTTACCTAGAAGGTTCCTCAGCTGCATCACATCCACTGTGTTTGTCACTTATGGGGCAGTGAAAGCACCCCACAATTGTCAGACCCATTTACATCTGCTTCAGACACAAGTTAAACATAATGAGCAAAGCAAATCTGTTCTTGCCATGTGGAAGTTTAAGTTCTTTAGGGTTTGCAATAGGCTTCCCATACACAAACACACAAAAAACAGGGCTATATCTGACACCAGTTTCTTTGAAGGCATCTCTCAGAATACTCTGTCCAGGGAGTGGAAAACTATCACAACGTGCAGGTAAAATCTCCCACCTTACTTTCCACGTTCTCCTTATCACAGCAGAAACTCCTTGAGTTTCACATTTCAAATAAATCTGAGTGTTAGGTTAAATGATGTAGAACAGCTCTCTGAAAACAGCACCTCGTTCTTTGATGGGGAAACTCCAGGGTTCCTTTACACCTAGAACAGCTGGATGGGCATAGAGAGGGAAGGATGAAAGAGGAACAAACATACTCAGGTCTGGCTGGAGAAAAGATATCAAACCAAAACAACCCACAGTGTTCAGCTTTGCAATGACTTCACTGCATCTTCCATGTGATACATTCTAAGCATCAACTTTACAACAGTTCTGATGGTTTGGCACTTTCCAACACATTGCAGTCGGTGATTATGTATACCAGTATGGCTTTCAGAAGCAAAACATTTATCACTCATTGAGAAAAAATGGGAAGCAAAACCTATTTTCCTCCTGTTCTCAGTTCTCCATCTATTTCTAACTTACAGTGCTTTGACCTGAGTTTTCATTAGCATCAGGAAATGGATTGTTTAGTCAAATGTGATGCTTCCTTCACCCTTCTCATTGCTTCAGGATAGCTGTTACACAGCTAGTTCTGAAGCTAATAATCATATGTGTATCTGTCTTATGTACATGTGTTGCACTCACAGTTCTCCAGGGTCATACCATTTTTAAAAATGCAAGTTTTTGAGGACTAAAAAAATATTCTGTTACCTCCCCTAAAACACCATCCTTTCTCAATCAAAAACAAAGCCCATCTGCTAATTCTGAAATGGTCTGACGTGGCTGACAACACATCCCAGAACTCAACCAGCTGCATTTTAAGTTTTGTAGGGCAAGAAAGAATGTGTAAAAAAAAAAAAAAAGAAAAATACTCTGCATCACATTTTCATAGGCAGTGGCATTTAGAACTGCCTTACATTGCAAGATGCTTGCTTGGGGGAAAAGCATTGCTATTGCCACTATTGCATGTGATCAAAAATTAAAAAGTAATCTAAACATCTTGTTTCAACAACAACATATCACAATGAATAGATCTACAGCAAAAGATCATTAAATTATGTCTCATCTCACGCACATGTTAGCTACTGTTTTAAACTTATGACAAACAGAAGAAAATCCCATTATGTCATAAATGTTAAGAGACCAAGTCACACATAAAAATAGCATCATGTCTTTAAAGGGCTCAAAAGACTGTGACAGGTCCCTAAAGATCCAGTGAAGGGTGAGGGTGACCAGATGCCATCTGGACAATGTGGCCATGGTCAAACACATGTCAGGAGATCAAGGCCCAGCACATGAGCAGGACACAACATGAGAGACTGTCTTCAGCTACACTTGTTCTCACAAGTCTGACCTTTTCCCTGCCTGCTCTAGTTCTCCACCTTCCTCACATGAGCCAAACTGTCACAGTTTGTGGGGTTTCTGGGGGGGTCACTGCCGGCCGCTTCGTGAAGGTTTTCAGGGTTGGAATCGCCCGCCCCCCCCCCGCCGCCCATCCCTTGTGGCAGGGACAGGCGGTGGAGGTACTTAGCCAGGAGACAAGAGACCACCCAGCACGCAGAGAGTCCAGCAGTGAAGAAGACCCCTCTATTCAAATTTCCCACAGCTTATAAGGGCCTTCTGGGCCAAGCAGGGGACTGGTCATTTGGCTAGCCAATGCAAGGAGACAGTGTAATAACTATGGCAACACAGAAACCAATGGTAGACAAGTGAATTAAGAGCTTCCAAACCCTACACCAAACCCTGCTTGCTTCCCCTGCACCCTGTTTTATGATACCAACTTTGCAATTTCCCAGTCTTCAGCTCTGTTTCTAACCATGCTCTTGCCTGACCATTTAACAGGTGCAATTCCTTCAGCGCTCCATTTCCTTCCCTACACCCTCCCATGCCTGTGGAGGGCTCTTCCCAGCCCTCACCAGTTTGGCATGAGCAGCCACACACCAGTCAAAGCTCTCTGTAGGCACTTAAAAGACACATTGGTACAGATGACAGGCCCTCAGTTACAGAAATCAGCTGAATGCAGAGACCCACAGGCTGTCCCTGGGAAAACCTTGGCTTTGAGAAGTGTTGGTACCTCTATGACAGCACAGGACACCAGTTGTTAAGTCAGTTCAAAACTGATCTCTTCCTAAATGCCATGTGTTAAGACAACCCCTGATCAGAGGAATGCACGGTGCACAGACACCACCTGAGCTCACTCTCAGCTATCAGGCCAGGCAGAGTGATGAGCTTAGCACTAAGAATAAGGCCTGCACTAACCACAATAATCTTCAAAATCCTTCTGAGGAATCAGTACAAGAATATGTGACCCAAACATCCAGTGTTCTGAGAGACAAGCAGCCCAGCCTGCCCTGTAATTGTAACAGAGTGAACATTAGAGGATGAACACGGGCTCTTTGCAACCATACACATTATTGTCTTCAGGTTGGGGTAATTTGTGCTCTAAAGCATCCTGAAGTCATTTGTTTAGAACATAACTGATGCTCAGCATGTCCTAAGAGCAGTAGAAAAATCTGAGAAAATTAGTGCAGTCCTGGATAGTTTCTAATTCCTACCTAAACTCTAAAGGTTCTAAAGGATCCTGAAAGGACTGGGAAAACACATAACATGCCAAAAGCATTTGTTTAAATCTGATACTCACCAGTAAGTGTTGGAGTGTGAGGAGATAAGCAGTAAGAAGGGCAAGAATACCTAGGACATTTTAAGTTTATACATTTAAAAGATTTCCAAACCAGGAACTGGGAAGAAGTCCCCAGACATTATAAATGTTCTTAATGTAAAGATTTATTTTTACTTGTTCACTTAAATAAGCACGGGAGGAAAAAGCTATTTGTATATAAATGCAAATTAGAGAACTTTCTGCTAGTACTAAAATATGTCATGAAATACACATTTCTTCAATTTCAAAGTGTTGTACTACAATTAAGAGAAGAATAATATAACAATGTTACCCTCTTCAATTTATTTTTTGTACTGAGCATGCAATTTTCTATTTGGTTAATCATTTAGACATGATTATGAAACAAGAATATACACATCACTGAGTCTCAATTGAAGAGTACAAAGCTCATTTATTACAAGTTAGCCATGTCAAAAAAGTGAAAGCAGATAAATGGAGTTTTATAGCTAACTAGCATCAAAACAAGATCACTTTTCACACAGGGTTTTTTTCCCCCTCCAAGTTGTGGCAGGGGATAGGGAAAGGAAAAAAGAGAAAAATTACTGCAGCCCATTATTTATTTAACAATTGTTATTTAGATTTATTGTTGTTTACAGTAATTGTTATTTAAAAATAAACTACAATATTTTATAATTAATAGCAAACTATGAGTTTGAATACAGATTAAAAACTCCTTATACCACATTAAGATATACACTAAAAAAGATTAAGCAATGTATTGCTACCTAATTTCTTTGCTCTTAACTGATTTAACGAGTAGTGAAATGAAACAAATCTCTGGGTCCAATTTCAAATTAAACTCATTTTTTTACAACCAGCAGGTGTGCAGTCTAGTTGCCTTCTCATCTTTAATAAAAGCATCCGCTTTCCTTGGATATTCCAATGAGTTTTTCCTCCCAAACTACCATGTATCAGCATACAAAGACCTGTTTAGCAGCACAACTGAAACAGTACAGACCCTGATACTTGGCATAAGGTAAATTAATCGTTCACTGGAAGAGTTACTGAAAACAGGAAAGAATACAGTCTTCAAAATGGAAGAGCTTTTATGTTTACCATGATCAGAGCATCACAAAAGTCCAGCCAGTGCTTCAAAGGGATCACTAGTTCAGATAGACAAAGGTCCTACCAGCATTCAACAAGCTTTCTGACCCAGACCTATCAGCCACAGGGCAGGTGGGAGCATCTGCCAGGAGAGCAGATCAGAACAGTGTGACAAGAGTGACAAACACCCAGCCACACTTGACAGAGGACAGATCACAAACCCAGTGGCTGCTATGGGGGCAGCTCCAGTGACAAACCCAAACAAAACAGCACTTTCCTCCAGGGAAGTGCAAGACACCCACATACAGAGGAGGTTTTTGGAGGAACCACAAGTCCTAGAGGCACTGCTCAGTGTCTGGCAATAAAAATTCAGCCTCCACTTTTGCTCACCTGGCCCCATGCACTAACTGTGATGAGAGATGTGCTGTGCATTTCTCCATCATAAATTCTATCTCCTCATGTCAGGTTGGGTTGCCTCGTTGGTTACACAGGGCACGATATTAAATACCAAAAAATGCAAAGACAGACATTTTTACTGACAAGTGCCAAGAGACAGATAGTCACAGTTAAGAACAGACACGAAGAAATAAATTTCAGATGAGGGATTGACAGCATTACTGCAACTCGTAAAGAGCAGAAGATGTTTTTTTCAACACAGATTTTTAGGAAAAATTTTAGGATTTGGGCAAAATCCAATATCAGTGCTGTGGATAGTCCTCTTTGGTTTAGCACTCAGAGCAAGACTTCAGAGCACACAGCAGTCCCAGAAAGCACAGAGCTCACTGATGGTAGGAGTCAGGAGTTCCCTATAACACTAACGGGGAAGAGGATCAGTATCTCAGAAGAAAAAGGAAACATTCGTTTTCACTGGTACAGTTTGGGGTTTTTTTCTTGGAAGGCAATTCAGTGGAAAGTAAGACTGCAGCTTACTGCACTAGGACACAAGTATTGCATTTCACTAGAAATTGGGGAATTCCTAGTAAAATAAGTTCTTGGATAGCCTTTCTCCTCCAGGCTTTTTATGAACAGATATTTGAACCTCACAAAATTAGTTTTCAAATGTGTTTTTACAGAGGAGAAAAACATCAAGCAGTGCAAGCTTGTACCATTATCTACCTAATCACTATGAAAAAGAACAATAAATTGATGTTGAAGTAGAAAAGGTTACTGTAGTATCAGTTACCAAGAGACCCACTCCCACACCCATAATCAGCTTCAAAATTTCTATCACTGTCAGCAGGGTTCTGTGCTCCAGCTTTGTTTGGCATGGCTCACTAAATAAAAGACCATTTCTCAACGACTGGTTTTCTGTTCCAGATGAATTGCAGTCACAGCCAAAGGCACTCACAGAAGGAACAGCAACACCTGCATCACAAGCAAAACAGAGCAATAAAGATTCCGTGCAACAGCATTTGTATGGGATGGACCTAGACAACACCAGCAGCTGAGCACCTGGGCCCTGACAGAAGTGCTAGCAGAGGACATACTCAGAACTGCTGGAGGTACCACTGACGGACAGGAAAGACTCAGATTAATTCATTTTCTGCCAAGCCTCTCATCTTCCCGTGGCAGCCCCCTCCTTCCTTCATCTACACTCCCCAGTATTCCAGGTTGAAACTCCTTCAAGGTGGTTGCCAAAAACACAAGTCAGCAGGACAGAAATGAGCAGCTGGAGCCTGAATTTCAGGAGCCGACATCATTGTAGTAGAAATAATTTGAGTGCTAAGACTTCCTACCAATGTTACTCCCCTGGCAGTCTGGTCACTTATACTGACTAGTTATCTGCTCCCCACATTTCATGTTTCGGTGACATCTTCTTTCCCAGTTATTATTATGCAAATGTAGAATATTAATTTAATGTGTATGTCTATATAAATCACTTGTTCTTCTAATTATTTTAACTCTAGAAGTTCCATCAGCTCTGTAAAGTTCTCCTACATTTCAATCTTTTCTCCAATCAGATCTTGAAAAATAGGCATGGCCTTAAAAAAAGTAATAATAATTATTTCAACCTTTGATACTTCTATCTCTGCTTTCCCTGGTCATTATATCACCTAAATTAATATTCCACATTAGAATCATACAATCACAGCAGGATTGCATTGTTTTGTTTCAGCCAGTGAAGTGACATAGAGCAGTAGTCACATATTTTCTTTTCATCTTTTATCACAGTCATAGTAACATTTATTACTATTTCTTAGGTGTCACACTATCATTATTTTAACAGTATCTGCTACATGCAACTCATTATAATGTGTGAATACATTTCCAGGAGGGTCAATGTTGTTTGTACATTTTACTTAAAAACACACAGTTTATAATCAGTGCTTTCCAAGGTGCTTAAAGTTTGGAGTTCTGCTGAAAACTACTGTATGTAAGTTTAAATGACAAAAAGCCTAGCAAGGACTTGGAGTGACTGGTACAGCTGGATGTGTTAAACTTCCATTAGTAACAACTAGCACAGACAAGAACTAAGGAGTTTTATATAATAAAGCACAAAACAGTTGAGTGGGTTATTTACAGTAGTATAGAATTTTTTTTCAGATACCGGTGTCCTTCATGCAGAAGGCTTAACATGCTTATTGTGCTAAACTGCCAAAATCATCTGCAGTGTGGGGAATTGGCAAAAAAATAAGGAGATGATGAAATTACAGGTGTCCAAGACAATTACTTCTCCTTCCATGGAGCAATCTGAATGGTATTCCTTTTTTGTTGCTTAAATGTCAAAATCCAGTTAAACATATCATGTTGCTGACTAAACAAAATTATCACATTTTAGCACCATCCATTATAATATTACTGTGTTTATTAACTATAGGGAAAGCAGGGCATAAAAGAAACATTAACCATAAAATGCACAAGCTTTATGTGTACCTTTTTACACATACTCCTCTTCAGTAAAGATCATCTATACTGAATACATAAAATGGATTCTAAGTTTTTTTCTCCCCAGTATCAAACCTTTGTAATAACCATACTTTGTATATTCTCTCCCAACAGGGAATATATCTGAGCTCAGTATGAGGTTAATGATCTTTTTACATTCCCTTTTTAAGCTATAGATCACTACTGAATATTATATTTTCTTTTGTTCCTGTTTGATCAAGGGAATATTGTTCGACAACATCACATTCTTTGACAAGTTCTTTAGGAAGATGGACACATTAAAGACAAGAGAAAGAGACTGCAAGAAAGATACATGCATTTCATTAGAATTACGGTGATTGGAACAAATACAACATAAAATGAAAAGCCCTTAATCACTTCAGAGGCAAGTTGTTACATACTTGTATCCTGTAACAAGCC